CGATCCCAATACGAAGTTCGCGAACATCAGGGATATCCATCGGGCTCAAATCGAAGCGGGTGAAAAGGAGGTTATCACGGCTGAATCCAGCGACTCTGAATGCCCTAGTGAGGCTGGCAGCTGTATTGTAGTGGGTGTGGTTGAGGATCAATAGTTAATAGTAATGAGGAGGTTGGGTTGTGATCCCATCGTTTTTGTGGTGCCAGAAACAGGGGGGTGCCAGGAAGTGGGTATGTTGACTTACTGTGGCGTAGGCCAGCAGATCAAGCAGCGGTGAGTAAAAGCATGTTTAAGGAGTCTCAAGAAGCTTTCTCATATCAGAATACAGACACGGCTACGAAGTTGTCTTCGTGGATCGTCAAATGATTCTGGAAGTGTTGTGGAAGAATCTGAAGAACAAGGACAGGATCCTTGTCAGTAAGAAGGTTATGCAAGTCTCCATCGAGCCGTCCAAGGTGAGAGTCGAGACAAGCGACGGCCAGTCCTACTCGGGCGACATCTTGATCGGCGCCGATGGCATCCACAGCAAAGTCAGAAGCGAGATGTGGCGGCTCGCGGATAGCCTGGAGCCCGGGTATATACCTGCTTCCGAAAAGAAGGGTAAGACAGCTAATCGTTTTCTACTCTCTATTGTCGACTGACAGAAGGGTAGAATGCCTGCCGACGGTTTACAAGTGCATCTTTGGCATTTCCATCATCAAGAACTGGGAGAACGGCACGGTGCAAACCAACTTCAACAAGCACTTCTCATACCTCGTAATTGCCGGCCCTTCCAACAGGGTCTACTGGTTCCTTTTCGTCAACATGGGCTACACTCACTACGGCCCCGATCTCCCCCACTACACCAAGGAAGACGAGGCCAAGTTGGTCAAGGAGCACCAAGAGGACAAAATCAATGAGAACTTCACCTTCAGAGATCTGTACGCTGCCAAGATCTCTTCAGTTTTGACCCCACTGCCGGAGTACGTCTTCAAGAAGTGGCACTTCAACCGCATCATGACCATTGGCGACGCCGCACACAAGGTAAGAGAACCTCTACTGCTAAAGAGGCCATACAGACCTCAGTGAGCATAGTATCGAAGATCTGACCTGTCTCAGTTGGAACCAATTGCCGGACAAGGAGGCAACAGCGCCATCGAAACGGCCGCAGTGCTGGTAAACAACCTTACAGAAGCCCTCAAGCAAAACCCATCAGGCGTCACGACGGAGCAAATCCACAATGTCTTCCTAGAGACCCAGAAGAAGCGAGAACCACGCGTCTGGCCCCTTGTTCACAATTCGCACAAGGAACAGCGTTTCGCCGCCATGGAAAGCCCTTTCTTGGAGTTCGCCGGTCGCTACCTCGTCCCAAGCCTGTCTATCGATGAGAAGGAAGGGCCCTGGAGCACAAACTTCGAGCCGGGTCACAAGCTCGACTTCTTGGACGTCCCGAAGAGGCCACGTGCGCTACCGTACCTTGACGAGCTTCCGAGCCAGAGACTCGACTCCTCTTTGCTACCTAAGCTTGTGGTGGGAGCTGTTCTTGCAGGCCTCTTGTTCCTCGCGCAGCAAGTTCTCGTCATCGCTCCCGAGGCGGCGAGTGGTGCCAGCTTTGTGGGCAAGCCTTTGAAGACGGAGTACACCGGTAATACCGCGATCGATTCTGTTCTCTCACTCCTCTCCTGGGCCTTCTCCGAGGCGACCTCGGGCCCTGACCCGAACACGAAGCTTCAATGCCTCTACTTCTTGATCAATCTCGCGCCCGTCATTTACATCTGGACGATCGAAGGTTATCGCAATGGCAACCAGCTCTCTCTCGTGTCTTGGCCATCTCTCTTCACAGTATACCAGCTAGTTGGTATCGGCAATATTGCACCGCTCTACTTCCTCATCAGTCTGCATACGACCAGTAGCGAAGTCTACACTCGTCCCACAGGCCGACCAATCCCATCAACTGTGGCGAAGGCGCTGGTTCCAGCTCTCTGTCTCGGATACATCATTCCTACCGCCCTCATGTTCATCCAGTATGGTGACTCCGTGGCCCAGCAAAACGCTATCGCCTTTTGGCAGCCCTCTCCTGTCTACGTCTCGATTCTGACCTGGCTCTTCTCCGGCATTCTTTCGGTCGCCTCGCCTATCAAGTCACTGGACTGGGAAATCTTTGAAAAGAAGGACCAGAGCGCGCTTCAGACCGGATACACACTTACGTTCGCCGTCACCGCTATCACACATGTCTGCGCTCTCGTGTACGCTGGCTTCAACCCCTCCGTGTCCCTCTTTGAGACCTTTTTCGACCTGCCGAGCATTGCGTCCATGGGCCTGGGGCTCAACATCGGTGGATTCTGGAAGTACGACATGCTCCTCTGTTTCGGTGCGGTTGCGGTCTGGTGCCTGTACACTGTCTTTGAACTCCGTAGGTTAGGATACGTGACGACAAAGGCCGCGATTGGGGCTGCGGCGGCCACTTTGATGGGTCAGGCATTAGTCGGTCCGGGAGCTACCTATGCAGGACTTTGGGCATGGAGAGAAAACGTCATTGCAGGTTTGATGATTGAGTAAGCTCGACTGAGTTGTTCAATGAACAATTAGGTTGACATCTGATTCTTTGAGCATCGCAATCGTCGCGTACTCTGTGTCAAGATCCGAGACCGACCTACTCAGTCTCGATTCGGTATCAACTCGTAATGCCGCTTCTATCAAGGATCAGTTATGCTTATTGTGGAAGGTGGTCTTCTAGTTGTACGGATCAACAACTGATTTGCCGGAAGTGTGGCAGATGATGGGGTAGCCGGCCGTTGAGGACAGGGATCCCGGCATTGGCACTGTAAATAGATGCATGAACCGACCTAATTAGCCAATTGCATTCAGAGCTAAGTGGGCATGAGAGCAATACGAGGAAAGTGGGTACAAGTTGATTTCCTAAATTGCCGTGCCCAGTCAAGAAAATCAACAGGCGGAATTTTGAAGTTAAAAGCCGGAGTCGCCGTATCATGTCGTGCTTATGAGACATTGAGTTGTTCTCGACATCGCAGACAATATCACCGACAAGACTAATTGCTAATTCCGTTACGATGAAGGGACTTGTTCTTGGACTTGCCTCGTTGGGCCTCGCCAGCGCCGTTCCTCGCGTCGAGCAGGCCCCCGTATCGTTCCGCCGGGGCTGTCAGGTCTCGGACGATGGCGCCATTCAGGCCCGGGATGCTGCCGCCGTCCACCTCACTGGCAAGTCGGCAACAGCCCGCCGTCAGACCTATCCCGGCAACTTCACCGTCGACGTGAACTTCCACATCGCCAGCACCGAAGCCCAGGCGGACCTCATCACCGACGCCATCGTCGACGCGCAGTGGAAAATTCTGCACGACAGCTTCGCAAAGTACAGCATCAACCTCGTGCTCAACTCCACCGAGCGCGTTGTCGACAATCTCACTGGTTCGGCGTTTCTCATCAATGAGGGCGGCTCCGCCGGCTGGGTCTACCACGAAGCCGAGTACAACGCCTACCTCAAGGCCTCCCGCAAGGGCGGCTACGACGCCCTCAATCTCTACTTCTTCAGCAGCTACTCTCCCGGCGCTACGGGGTACTGCCAGTTCCCTACCGTTCTTCCCGCAGAGGGTACGGACAGCTTGACCTTCGCCAAGGACTCGTGTCAGCTCAGCGCTATGACGATGCCAGGCTTCACTGTCGAGCAGGGCGGCTTTGAAAACTGGAACCTCGGCCACCTTGCTGTTCACGAGGCTGGCCACTGGTTTGGTCTGAACCATACCTTTGCTGGTGGATGTTCTGACACGGCGGGCGACTTTGTTGCGGATACGCCAGCACAGAGAACTGAGGTGTACGGGTGCCCTACTAACTCAGATACGTGCCCGGATCTACCGGGTCTAGATCCCGTTCACAACTTCATGGGCTACGCTGATGACTCTTGGTAAGTTTGCTTTTTGTGTCCAGCCTTTGGTGCTTTATTGCTGACTGAGTCTTTAGTACCAATGAGTTCACTCCTGGACAGAAAGAGCGCATGTTCTCAACATTTTTTGGATGGCGCAGAAAATAGATAAAGGCTGCGAATATGCTTCGATTCAAATATCTAGGTCGTATCATACTGAAAAACTGTTCAAAAGTATTGTAATACAAGCATTACGCCCAAAACCTGTCGTGCATACCCATCCTGAGCTGTTTGCAGATATTGCAGAACGTGAAATTATATTATAGACTATCTTGATGATAAGCGATAGCCTCCAATGCCGATTTGAAACTGGCACCTATACGGCGAACTTGCCCTTCTGCCTTTCAAAAGTTTCCAATTTTCCCAAGACGTGATTGATTAGGCTTATACCGCCTCTTGGGCTCTTTCTTGCGGTGTCCGAGCGAAACGAAGCACATTTCGTCTGCAGGATGAGTTGTGCGGTGTAAGTTCTGAGTCAAGCTTTGAAGGCAGATGAGCATAGACTTCTGGTAGCTTAGGAGAGCTGTTGTGATTGCATTATGCCGTGTGGCCTTCTCGGAGGGCGTTGAACTTTTGTTTAAGTTTCTATATTCCTCGGCAGCGCGTTCCGATCGTACTTTTATAGGAGCATGACCTCAACATGTAGTGAATCATTGGGCGGTAGCATAGGTGACTAAAGCTGGGAGCTCAGAGTCCAGAATGTGAATAATGTTAGCAATATTATCGCCATCTTTCATAGTTGCTGATTCAGTATCAGGGGCGGTCTTTTAAGATAACACAAGCAGTGAAGGCAACATTTGAGACTCATGTAACATGGACTGACGGAACGCATTAGTCTTTTTGTCTTTCACTATCAATGCACATGTAATCCTCTATCAGGTGCATTGGTCTTATGACACATGCAATGAGCACGCATGCTTTTTCTGCCTTACTCACGGAAATCCCGTGGTAGTCACTGATAAACATTACTTCATCTTGATCAACCTCAGCTATTACTAATTGAGCAGTGGTTTGCGTCTATTGGCACATACAGCCTCCAGACTTCGAGCGGGGTTTCATAGCACCACCTTAGAAATCTTAAAACCTCCTGGGATCCTAGTCTGGAAAACCCCGGTTGGATCGTACTTGGCAGCAACCTCCTTCAGAAACCTGACATTATCCTCACCATACGTGCTGATTGGATCTTGGGCAGGGTTCACGTAGTTGAGGTACCGCCATGCCGTCGCCTTCCCATTGGCTTCGGCGTAAGCCTCGAGCTTCGCGGTCATAGCGGCCAGCTTGGCATGAGCCAGCGCCTCTTGTTCTCCAGTGCGAGTCTGGGCTTGTACGAGCCAAACAATCGAGTTATGTGTCAAAGATGTATCGAGACCCAGGACGTTGTTGCCGCTGCCCTTTGTCGCAAAGTGCCTGGGTAGGGGCTGACTGACGACAGAAAGACCGAGATCAGGCGAGGGGATTAGGGCCTGAAGTTGTATAAGTAGCTCATCATATAGCTCTGACATCTTTGTCATCATGTCAATGTCGTTGTGGAAACAAAGAGAGAACCATACGTTCCTGGGTAATGTCAGCAGGGAAACACGAGATGAATCATAAGTGTGGATTAGTCTCATACCTCTTGCCTCCAGCTGTGGCATAGTCCGTGATGAGGGTGCCGTACGTTTTCCGCTTTCTGTCATCGATAATGGCAGGAATACTTGCAAGAGGAGCGAATGAGGTTGAGTTGGCGATGCCAGCCGTGTTGATGGCATTAATCGCAATCATGGGCGGCCCCTCCCCAGAATACGTAAAGGTGACGACCTCGGTGTCTTCTGGATGATCCTCGTTGATGTCAATGAGCCTCACAAACTGCTCCATCACAGCCTGCTTCTGGTCATAACTCATGAACAACAAGCCCCCATAGAGACCTCCGTGCGCCGCCGGGAACGTCTGCATGTCGAAACGAGTCACGATACCAAAATTGCTGCTGCCACCCTTCAGAGCCTTGAACAGATCTGGGTTCTCTCCCGCGTTGGCGTTCGCGATTGACCCGTTGGCCAAGACCACCTCGTAGTTTTTGACATCGTCGCAGGCAAAGCCTCTGGTACCGGTATGGAACGAGGCGCCGCCGCCGAGAGTCAGACCTCCGACGCCAACATTACCCTCGCGTCCTCCGGTCACTGATTGGCCGTATTTCTCAATCTCCTTGTAGACCGATCCCCACCTGGCACCTGGTTGGGTTGATGCCGTGCCCTTTTCAACAGTTAGAAACGATCCATTACGTTGTCACACGATGGAAACACATACACTGCAGTTTTTGTAGATTGTTGCATTCATGCGGCTGAGGTCAATTGTCACGCCTTGAGCCACATTATTGGAAGGGTAGTGAGAGTGACCGCCAGCCCGAACAGCAATATCCCAGTTGCCAGCTGAGCTCGTCTTCACGAGAGCTGAAAGGGCGGACGAGACTTCCTCTGTTGTCTCGGGCTTGACGACGCACCATGGGTGAAGCTGCTGGACGGTTCCGGACCAGTATGATGCGATGCTGGAGTTATACTCCGAATCAGGCGGAAAGAACACCCGATTAACTAGTCCAGCTGCAATAAGAGCATCGCACTGCGTTGAAACAGTGTCAGCATCTTTTGGGTTGAACCCTCCAGGAGGCCAAATTGCAGGGAAAGGAGCGCACTTACACCTGAGTAACCACTTACGTCCGGAACTTGACGGATGCTTGTTTGGAAGCCTGCAATGATTTGAGCAGTCGAAGAATCGAGAAGCAGAAGCGCGGCGGAAAAGATGGAAAGAAGAGCCATGGTTCCGAACGTTGGCTGCGTCGCGGTGGACACAAGAGGTCTTCTTCAGACTTCAACGTCAGGCCTCGTGGGAGATCACATATCAACGAACGACTCAGCTCTGGAAGAAAATGCGTGCAGCTTCATCTTAAGCAAAGCCCGCGTCGCTCGAGGTGAGAGATAGGATACGAAGAAAGGTACACTCTGAAAGCGAATCCGAGATGGAGTCGCAACCGAGCAATTGAGAAAGAGACTATTATGGCAAGCGATGGTGGCAAAGTAAAGGGGCCCCTGACAAAAAGCAACGATAACATGCTGAATTTAGCAAATAACGCCGTCACAGATTGCGGTTCCAGATTGCGGATATTTAGCTGCATCGCGCGTAATGTAATGATGCAGAACCGATACGCTGTGCCACCAACCTGCAGTTGGTTCCAACAGGTGGCGAGGTCCGGAAGGCTCCCGAAGTGGCCTTGGCAATAAAGTATTGTTGCAACCAACAGTTTGAGACACTTGGTACACGGTCAGCGAAGAACAAGACAACCCACTTGAGATTAAATGAGTTCCTCAATACGCAAAGTACTCCGGACTTCTCTATCCTAAGGATCAGTAGAGTAATTCAACATCCCTTTGTATTGAACGAGCTTTGAAAGTTCGTTTGTCATCTGAAGCGGTGGAATCCAAGTGCGAAATCCTCCTTGCAAATTTTGAATCCTTGTCTCTGCTCGTTGGTTGCAGATTTCTTACGCTTGCATGCGTCCAACAAACATTGGCGCGCCAACGGGGCACGTATTTCCATGCGAGGGAATATCTGTAACTCCGCTTTCAGTCAAAGATTCACAGGCTCTTTCCCAGAGTATGGCTTCAAAATCATGCTAAGATTGATCTCCGGGTTCCATAAGGGATTTACTGCTGGAGGGGTCCCTTGCTCAACTGACAGACTTGACCTCATACATTGGAGGTAAGCATGGGTATACCGAAGGACCAACAAGCCGTTATGCACATTGGGAAATCTTGGGAAGATCTCGTTCTGTTACAGCAACAGGAAATTTTGTCCTTGGTATCAAAAGTTCTCGGGGGTTATCTCACCCCTGGTGTTCTCAAGACGCCACCAGACCGGGAGTTCACAAGTTCCAACCGGTTCGCTGACCCATTCAAACCACCCATTTTCTGAACACAGTTGGTGTCTCCGTGTGGACTTTGTCATGAAGCAGCACTGGTCTGTAGGCTTTTCTTCTACTTTCTGCTGAATTCCACAACCTAGGTTCTCTTAAGTCTGCGGCTGCAGAAATAAACGGTGATTTCAAACTTCAGTTCAAACCGTCAATGTCAACAACCCTTCTCGATGATCCCATTGGAAATTACCCCACGGTTTGAGAGTCTGCCTACCCCAGTCAATCCAGGTGATCCAGCAGCGCTGATCAATGGCTCAATATGGCCCATGGTAGCAATCTCGACAGTCTTTCTAGCCCTCCGGATCTACTGCAAAGGCTTCAGAGTCAGGTGGATGATGTGGCTGGACGACTGGCTTTTGATCGCCGGATGGGTCTTTCTGATTGCCTCGCAGTCCTTCTTGAGCGAGATGATGAGGCTGGGGTTCGCGAGAACCTACGGCGTCACGCCGGCCATGAGCACGATGTTGTATTGCGCCGACAACTGCCACAAGATCTCCTTGGCTCTGACAAAAACTTCGTTTGCCGTTACGTTGCTTCGAATTGCCTCTGGGTGGCAGAAATACATTATCTGGTTCTTGGTCATTACCATGAACATCCAGTTCATCGTCCACATCATTCTCACCTGGAGAGCTGTTTGCCCTAGAAGACCTGAAGATACGACTCCTCACCTTCCAGGCTCATGCTGGTCAGCGCAAGACGCAATCACCTTGGGAATATTTGGAGGATGTATGTCCTCTTTCCCGCGAAGTTATTCTATGCACTCCGGCTTTCTGACTATTGATAGTGTACTCCGCCGTCTCAGATTTTGTTCTCGCGTTATTACCTTGGAAGATCGTTTTGAGCCTACAAATGAGGAAGCACGAAAAAATCGGCGTTGGAATGGCCATGAGCATGGGGATCTTGTAAGCACGGCGCCACTTTCCACCTTCTTTCTCCTTTTCTGGAGAGTTTCAGCTAACCCGAAGCTGCCTGGCCAGAGCGGGTGTGATGGGAATAATGAAAGCTGTCCAGAGCATCGCGATCATGGACTTCCTTGGCCCTGATTGTGAGTAACTGGCCCCATAAGTTTCTCCTCACGTTCACTGATGACCATTGTTCAAGACTTTTGGAAGGTCTGCATCTTTTGGGTCTGGGCGATGGCAGAACCAAATGCGACCATCATTGCAGCCTCCATTCCCGTTCTTCGAGTGCTCTTCCGAAACGCTCTGAGTAGCCGACCTTCAGGATACCCCTCTGGCGCATACATTCGATCGGATAACCTCAGCAAGTTTCAGAATCGCGGCATGTCTGCTATTTGCTCCTCAAGAAATATGGACCGCGACAAGAGAGACAATGACAGTGATCAGGAAATTTTAGGTGGGATTATGAAAACAACGGAGGTATCTGTGGACTCCATCAACTATGATGGCCAAGGCCGTCGGTTCGGGAAGAAGGCACCACGGGAGGAGCACGGCATCGAGCTTGCCAATCGATGATCACTGGTGTCCAAAGTTACGGCCGATTATGAGGCGTCCACGTAAGAGAGACATCAAATGTTATTTCGTGGATTTGAGGAGTCGGTTATGGTGAACTGAGATGATTTACTGCGGTGCCCAATGGGTTTATGACATGACCCTGGCAAAATATTGAGAGCCCTTGTTGAATGAGAACGGAATTAGGCCCAGCAGTGACGCTTTGTTGAAGGTCAGAGCTCATCGGTACTATACTATCCATTCCTCAACCTCCTCGCCTCATTCATTATCCATGCTCTTGCTAGCCATGAATTTCTAATGCTTTGTATCTTCGGAGCAGTTCCTCCCCTAAAACCAGGTTTGAATGTCTATCGTGGCTCCCGGTGTCGTCGAGTCGCCCGCCTAGAGTTGCCACGGGATCCACCGCCGCCAGAGAATCCGAAACACATCTTAATTGGCTATGTCTGCTTTCTTGGTCTTTGTGATTTTGTATCTTGTAGTCGGGTGTCCTGCTGTGGGGTACCTTAGGTAATGTGGTCTGAGGAGGAGTCGATTGTCGGTTACTTCGGTGTTGTTTACACTTAGGTAGGTAAGCTAGTATGAGGTGCCTTGTCTTTGGGCGTACTTAGCATTCAATTTATTGCTAAGTAGTTCTCTTTCTCTCCAGAACAGTGAATTCCTCCAGGCGTAGTGAATGCAACACACCTGCTGAGATGACGATGATGACAAACTCGCCCTATCAATAGTCCACATGCTGCGTTGCGATCTGCCTAAATTGCATTCCTGATTCATAGTTTTCGCTTGTTTCAATCTGGATTGCGCCCCTGAACCGCTTCTGAATTTCCATCCATCCAAAGAAGCCTAAAGCTCCATGGAAGTAGGGACGGTTCATGGAGTCATTTATGGTGGTATATATGCGTTCTCAATGCGTGCAGTTGAAGTGCCGGCATAGCTTGTTGGAACAGGCTTGTTTGACGAGACATCAAGTCATCCGCACGGGAAACTAGCTTGAAAGACACACAGAAAAACTTGTATTCAACCGTCAATCTACCTGTTCTAATTGCTTACAAACTACTGATATCGTGCGCTGGGGAATGTCAGCAATTCATCTGCAATTGACGAGGAAACCTGAGGAAGCTTTAGCTCGCAGTGTCGTCAACTCCTCAATTGTTATCACTTTTGAATGGCCATTCTCATTTGCCGCTCCGATTCGTTGGTTCGTCCAATCTAGGCCCAGTCAAGCAGTTGATGAGTTGGAACGAGATCCGATCACTGTCCACTGGTTGGTGGTTGAGTCTCGATTACTCAAGTACGTAGCTGTCATGCTAGCAGACAGCTTGATTAGTTCCAGAAAAAGCCCAAAACATGATCTCGCAAATTCTAGAATCTTAGTCATGCGCAAAGTTAAGCGCCAAATGTCATAAGCCAACTCGTTCTTTACATGTGAGTTTGCCCAGGCTTTAGGGATACTTGTCACAAAGCTCGGACGACTCGACAAAGTGGGAGACGCAAGATAGCAGGGACAAAACAGGGCATGCCACGTTTAGACAACAAACACAAGCAGCCGCCTCCATACCAAGCGCTCCGCTTACGCACAAACAAATTCTCGGTCAACAGTTCGCACACTTGATCTTTTTACCTTTCTTTTTTTTCCCGCAAAATATTTCAGCAGATTTTATGAAGGTTGGCATTGTTGGACACTTATTCTCTTATTCAATCATGACGAGAACATGCTCAACATATGATCTGAATATGTTCGGGGCAGTACAAGAGGGGACCCCTAGCGCGGGATCCTTTTACATGGGGCTTTTCTTAGCCCCAAAACAATCGCCGCCCGGCAATCTGAATGGCCTGAAGGGAAGGAAACCTAGAACGCTCCAACGACAACCCTGGATTGACCCCACCTGAGACGCTTAAGTAAGGGCATGTTTCCCCGGGTCTGGTCACAAAAACTTCATCAACTTCACCTCACCCCCTCCAATCTCACCACCAACTCATAGACGTCGCCGCATCACTCTTTCATCAATACAACAGTCAATAATAGGTATTACGGAGAGCGGGGTCGTTTGAGAAAATTTTATCGCTACCGCTCTAGCACACCATGGACGAAATGGAGGATTTATCGGCATACGTGCAACAACTGGAGCTTTTCCGCCGCAATGATTACACCCGTGATCAGATGATCCAGGTGAGATTTTGAGATTTCTGGAGCCCCGACTATGGCAACGCCCGCGACTGCCTGATGATGGCATACGCCATAGCTATTGCCATCTTGCTTCGTTCATTTCACGAGCGGTTTACTGACAGGCATTGTCTAGGATCTACTTGCTCGCCACGGCCAGCTTCAGCAAGCTTACCGGGAAAAGTGCGATGACTACAATAATGAGCGCGAATC